AGTAAATTTCCGGTCTTTTTCGCATTTGCGATAGGAATCGCATTTGCGACTAAGGCAGTAGCTGGGGGGAATCGCATTGCGATGGAAACCTCGCACTTGCGAGATAGTGCTGGCCTGGGCTAGTTCGCATTTGCGACATAGCCTTCGCAAATGCGATCTCGCATTTGCGAGCCAGGCTTCGCAAATCTGCAACACACCAGTTCAAAATCTGCAACATCCTAAGTCAAAAATCTGCAATTTTCTCAAAAACAACCCGATTCACGTTGTTTCAAGTCCGTTTCTCACCAAATTTCACAGACTTATCTTAGATCACATATAAGACCTGTACCAGGCACCGACACCAGAATACGGGCCGATACCATCAAGTTTTAAACACATTTTATTTCCAAAGCTCATAAATAATTTCAGAAAATAATTTTCTTTAAAAATTCATTTCTCGGGCTTGGGACCTCGGAATTTGATTCCGGGCATACGCCCAAGTCTCATATTTTCCTACGGACCCTCCGGGATTGTCAAATTACGGGTCTGGGTCCGTTTACCCAAAATGTTGACCGAAGTCAACTTAAACTCATTTTAAAGACAAGATTCATTATTTTTCACAGATTTTCACAAAATGGCTTTTCGGCTACGCACCCGGACTACGCACGCAAATCGAGGTGATGCCGAAAGAGGTTTTTAAGGACTCGGAATACAAAATTTACTTTTAACACAAGTGATAACCTTTTGGGTCATCATATGTATATAACCTTTTAGTACGAAAATTTTAAACACACTACACATATATGTCATGCATCTTGAATAGCGATTTCGATGGGAAAAGAACTACTCATGCAACATACATATATAATGCCAGATTATTCACTCCAATAATTAAAACAGACTCAACTCAGATGGAGAGTATACTGTTAATTTAAGTTAAGTGAACATCATAATTAATAGCTCTAGTTCCATTGATCCAACATGTATACTCAGATGCAGATTAAGTACACGATATCAATTACTAGTATTTCACCTAGTGAACTTACAATAAGTTTATCCGATATGGAGGAAGACCTAAAGTCTAACGCATAAATTTATTACTCACTTGAAATTAATAGTGGAAGACCATAGAAATATATTTCTATCACTACTTAATCATGATTGTATTTTAGTTACAAAATTAATTCACCCTTAAATTCAGATAGAGAGCTAATACAAGTTATCAATAACTAGTAACTATATCCAGTGAATTCATAATAAATTTATCCGATATGGAGGAAGACCTAATGTCAACGCATAAATTTATTATCTCACTATAAATAAAAATGGAGACCATAGAGGTTAATTCCTATCACCACTTTATCACAACTACAAACTTTTCTCTAAGGATTAAGTTCCATAATTTAAAAAATGCTCAATACCCCATTTAAACAGTCTTAAAACGCTAAAATTAACGTTTTTCACTGTAACAGTGAGTATTGTTCACTGGTCTATTTCTGGCAAACCTACCAAATTTCATATCAATCGGAGATTGTGAAATGCGACCAAATTTGGAAAATTATCATTTTAAGTATTTTTAAGAATTTAAAATATGACCTATATTTTTTATCATATACCAATTCATGTCAAATCAACATGTGTTATCATGTTCCAGATTAGACATAAATAAAATGATAGAAAGAATGACTTTTCGTATGTAAATCACATTTAATCCGCCAAACCTCCAAAAAACTCGTCTAAAGGACCCCGAATCATCAAAATACGATGTGATTCACTGCATCGCAGTGAATTCTTCTTAAATGATCGTTTTCGATGATCTTACCGAATTTCAGATCATTCGGAGATCGTGAAATTTACGATCGCCAAAACTAGACCAAATTCGAATAAATTATTTTTGGCGTATTTAGGATTAAATCCATGTGATTTGCATTCTTTGCTATACATCCTATCAAGTTAAATCATCATGTTTCAGATTTAACACAAATATAGCCAATATATAAGGAATAATTTTTCATATTTATAACAAATTCAATTTAATAAATTGCTTGAAAACCCATCTAAACGACCTCAAAATACCAAAAAATAGCATGATTCACTGCATAGCAGTGAGTTTTCATCACTAGATTGTTTTCGATGAACCTATTAAGTTTCAGGTTAATCGGAGTTCGTCAAATTCATGACCACCAGCATGACCAAACTCGGAGAATAACCGTTTAAGCAGTTTCATGAATTAAAATAAATATGACACTGATTTCCATTCTCCTTATAATTATACTATGAGCTCAAGGCATATATTATGTTCTTCCTATTTCTAGAATACATAATATCTCCTTTTGTAATAAATTATCCTTTTATTAAATACACAAGAACCTAAGATATTATATTTTCTCCCGTTCGGTGAAAACCCCAATATCTCTTCTCATGGGTGGAGTTAGTTTCACTAGTACCCAAAGATAAAACTATTTTTCTAGTTAAGAACCTCCACCATTAATGTAGATTTCTCAAGGATAATTTTCACATGATATATTAAGCAGATTTCAATGACTCAAACAAATAGACCATTTTTTGGATCCTACTTATTAATCATAATGCTCAATCCATGAATAGATATAATTTCACATGTACAAATTTACTAAGACTTTTTCATGAGTTCAAATAAACAAACCACTTCAGTGGTAACTATCTATTACTCATAAAATTCTCAATTTACAAGTGAATATATATGTAGCTCATAACATTATTTTATGGCAGAATATGGACCATAGCTTAAAAGCCATAATAACAATATAAAACTCATACAAAATACCGTCATATTTTACTTAATTAGAACCTCCAAACAGAAAACAAAATTCTTCATCGAAAATCCAAAACCAGTAATCACGTAGGGCATTGAGAAATATTTTATGCAAAAATATGCCAAATACTCCAATCATTAGTCATCCAGGATATCAAATAGAAGATTTCACTTTCTTACAAAATAATTATATCATCACACAATATCAATTATACCTTGTAAGACCTAGTCAATAAAATTCTACACCTTTATTCTTGAATTTAATATAACAACACGTCTATTTGCTAATAGCCAACGTGTAAAGCTATTATATAACCAGTATTTAATCATGGAGACCATGGGGAGTCACCCCCACCACCATTGAATTAAAAACGAATTAAAATTATTAAGAAATAATTTTCAGAAAATAGAAAAACGTCCAAAACACAGTACAAACGACCTCAAAACGTCGAAAAACACCATGATTCAGTGCAAAAGCAATGAGTTTTTCTCACCACGTCATTTCCGATGGAATCACCAAATTTCAGCTCAATCGGAGTCTGTCAAGTTCGCTGACCTCCAAAAATACCGGATATTCAGTCAAAATCAGGCTTTGCATTTTTTTAGGGTTTACCCCAAAAATTTAGATAATCTCAATCAAATATCAATAAGAAAACAGATATCTCATGATTACAAGAATAATCCAAAAAATTTGCACAATTAATTTACAAAACAGCAGCGCAGTTTTTCAGAAAATCACATATACATGTAATTCAAAAAGGCACATAAACACGATATTCTTGTTTCATGAAAAACTTAGTTATCAAATTAAATATGAGTGGGCTCTGATACCAATTGATGGATTATAATAAGCAGCGGAAGCAATCCTAATATCAAAATCACATGTAATCTATACAACTAGTATAAACATGATTTCATGGTTACCTCTTGAAGCGTGAACAAAGTTCCTCTATCATGTGAGCCTCCAATTCCACAGTAACGTAATGAAATATCAGCCACCTGCATGATCACCATCTCTGAATGTTCTACGGTCTTCTACTGTGTTACCCAAAAAATATCCGGAAACAGTAATTTTGTGTGGGCAAAAATTTTCTAGGAAAAAGGCTGAATTTTTTTCCAGCCACTCTCTTGTTCTCCCTCTAGGTGGAAAACTTTATGTATTTATAGCACAAGTTTTAAGGGTTAAAACCCTTTTCGAAAACCTGTTGGATTTTTTTTTCCACCAGAAAAAGAATTCCTTTATTTCCTATTATTTAGGCACAACAGGGACCACAAAATTTAATTAAAAATGCTTCCAATTATGAAATTAATTTATATTTTTCGAAATTAATATCCACCATAACTAATTACGAACTATTCCACTAAAAATTCGTAATTGCACTCCTTATTCAATTTCGAAATTCATCCATTAAATCTTATTTAACTCCCCATGTTAAGATTCAGATACTAATCAATTAAATTAAATTAATGACGATTTAATTTATTGATTATTTTCTTTAGACTTTCGCTTAACTTATTTCATGTGTCAGATACAAAATCCACTGGCCGGGTTTACACATGAAAACTTATAAGCTTTCATAAACGTGTATAATCAATCTGTAAACCGAGACATGAATTCCATCAACTAACTATTATTTCGCCAATGTACATTATTATTATCCAATTTACCAGGCATATTGGCCCACGAAAGAACCTCGCCTTTTAATAAATCAAAATAATAATAATAATAATAATGTACCCAGCTAATAATAATTATATCAAGATTAAGAGTATAAGTACATTTAATGGCTAGAGAGTTTATTTTATTAAGTCGGTATAAAATACTTAGCTCTACTTGGTCCGTTCAATACATATAAAATATACTAGCACAAGAAGTTGGAATTAAATAATTACCATAATCAAGATAAATTATATTTAATCTTGTGTTACAATCATTCCTCATGGTTTGTCCAATTCCATCATTAGATTGTTATACTTATAAGAATCGATGATTTAATCTTCCATGTATAAGCTAAACTCTATACACTAAATCATCTACTATATAAGCAAATGATACAGATTAATATATGATCTATTTAAAACTTTATTAAAACTGAATAAATAATTGGTTCATAATAAATACTATATCTAAACCAAACTCATGGTTAATAGTATATATCTCAAAACGTTTGATGATCCAACATCCTTTCATAAGTGCAAGAATAATGGTTTGTATCCGAAGGTGGACATGAGGAGTATGTTGTTTGTGGTAACGTTATTTGATTACGAGGATGCTTGCTGGAAAAAGGTTTTGCGGAGAAAGAGTAGTGGACTCCGAGGAAGCAACAGGTTTCAGGAGATAGTGGGAGAGCAAGTGAAACTACTCGCAAAGGCGAGCAAACATGAGTTTTTGCCATTCTTTCATTGGTTTTGGTCGGAAGGAATTGAAAAGATGTGCCAAAATAAGGGAAGCTTCGTGCAAGAATGGATCAAAGGATTTCGAGAGATGAGGTCTAATACTATGGCTAATAAAGAAAAAAAAGATACCATGATTGAGATCTTGTTATCACTACAAGAAACAGATCCTGAGTACTATACAGATGAAATGATCAGGAGCCTTATGATGGCAAGAACTAAATAATTAATTGTGTAATTATCACAGATTAGTTTCACGTGTGGTAACTGAACTTTACTCGTTATAAAGTCACCTGATTAGTATCTTTAGTCATTATAGTAGGTAAAGTTTAGTAATTTTACCGTTATTCTGAATAAGGTGCAATTATTTTAATGCAACAAAAAATAGTTTTTGTAACTTTACTATTACAGCGGGTAAAGTTTAGGTGACTTCACTTGTTACACAGTGGACAAAGTTCACTTCACATGGCAAAAACTAATTGTATGACTTCACTGTTATAATGACTATACCTCAACTAACTCTAATTTTCATTAATGAAGAAAACATTTGACCAACTTGAATATGCTACTTGGCAAACACTCTTAACTGCTGCAAGTAACACTTCAGTGGATACAATGGAGTGGACAATGGCTCATCTGCTAAACAACCCAGAAATCCTAAAGAAAGCAAGGGTTAAAATTGAAAACGTTGTTGGACAACAACGTCTGATCGACGAATCAGATGTATATCAGCTACATTTCCTCAAATTAATCATCAAAGGATACTCTAAGGATGCACTCAGTAGTCCCATTGTTCCTGCTCCATGAATCATCCAAAGATTGCACCATCGGGGGTTATTATGTCCCTCGTGGTACAATGTTACTAGTGAACGGGTGGGCGATACAGAATGATGCAAAGATTTGGGATGATTAGGCCAGAAAGATTTGAAGATATGAAAATGGGAATCAATACAAATGGTTGCCTTTTGGGGTAGGAGAAGGGGATGTCCTGGCGAAAACTTAGCCATGCGTATGATTGCCTTGGCACTGAGATCACTAATTCAGTGCTTTGAATGGGAAAGGATTGATAAGGAAAAGGAAGACATGAGTAAATTTTGTGGTTTCACTGCACCTAAATCTCTACCTTTGGTAGCAAGTTTTCATCCTCGACCAACTATTGTGCCTCTTTTCTCAAATTTGATTTGCACTCTACTGCTGAGTACTGCCTAATTCTCGGACTGGTCCTGAGAAATAAAACCAAAAATGAGTCCAAGAAGACTGGTCCAGGTCATTTTCGTGTCTCTTGTGGTACAACCTGTTGCAATGTCTTCACTAAAAGTCTGTGCTGCAAAGTTTTAGGATTTTCTTCCTAATCTTAGTTTCCATTTCTTTCCTTCAGATCAATAGAGGGTGATAGAGTTAATATTACATTTACTGATAATTACTTGTTGTAATCACAGCTAGTTTTACTAACCAACTATTAATACAATAGTTCTTTGCCCTTTGCTTCATATATGGCATGCCGTTAGTATCCTCGGCCACAGAGGCGGGTTAGGTTGATATGTTATAGAACAGGATACAAAAGGAGTCCGGTAAACAATGGACACTTCTCGAAAGGAAAGAGGATATTGAAGGATTGCATATAGGTGTTTGTAACACGCAGCGGAAGACAATAATAATCCTAGGCAGATCTTTTCGTGTTTAAAATTTATTTGTATGTCAAAGATCGGATCTAAAACGTACCTAGTGAAGAGAGTCTCGTTTCAAAATTTTTTCGATAGTGCGAAGACTCTATGTGTATCCACACCGAGACTGATCCTTGCTATCAACTCTTTGATCAACGAAACCCGCGAACAAATTGAACAGAAAACTTGTGCTGAAATTTTTCTCAAAAATCTCAACTCAAAGATAAAAGATACGGCAAATTTTCTTCATCATCCTTTATATAGCATCACCTATAAACCCTTTTCCTATTTGGTTGAGGTAATAATTTACTTAGGGTAAAAATTTATTCCAAAATAAACTTCTCGAATTTTTCCGATTGGAAAAACGTATGCCATTCCTAATGAGATAACATCTGCCGCCATTAGCTAGGACGTTCCAATTCAATTCCAGTTGAATTGGATTATGAGAATTAGTTAGTATATTTTATATAATGTCAATCCCATTTTTAATGGGTTTGAATTAGTTTCACGTCCTTTTTGGACTTTTGTGTCGGTCCAATTCTATATTGGATTTACCAAATAAGTTTTCATTAATATATTTTATGTATACTTTATACAAATAAATATTAATCATATATATATATTTCAACCAAGAGATATAAATTAATTTTCTATTCCAAATAGAAAACTTCAATTCGTTCACAATATTAATTATATCCTTTGTGCTAGCAAAGAATATAATAATATTTCATTTGGACTAACTAACTAAATTTATTTGACTAATTAAATTCTTTAATTTAATTATCAAATAATAAGTTAATTAATCCTTTAGCAAAGATCAGAACACTCGTTAGTATGTGACCCCATAGGTTCAATACTAAACCGGTAGTAAATTGATCACATCAATATACTAATCAAGGGTGGCGTCTAGCAACACTTCTTAACGACCGGATATCATGAAGTATACAATTTACTCTCAAGAACCAGTAGAAGAATAATGTAGTAATTCCTTCTGTCCTTATAGCTCTGGATCACCCTAGGATATGGTTCAACTGTCAAATCCTAATAGGCGACCAACTATGTGTCCATGTCAAATATATTCGACCATTGAATGACCTAAGAAACTCTTTTCTTCTTTCATTTAATTGCCCTAGCCAAGGTCTTAGTTTGGTCGTTTATAATTCATGACAACATAGAGCTTAAATTCATTACCAAGAGTTGACAGATTCCATCTTGATCAATCACTAATTCTACAAGTATTTAATCGTACCCAATATCCTTTCAACTATAGCCCTAGGGTCATATGTGTCTAGTATCAAAGCACAATAAATAACTTGTCAATTACTATGACGATCTCAGGTCAAAGGAATTTCTTACATCACATTCTTCAAGAGAATATCCTATTGACAGTTTATGGTAATTCTAACCATTAGGAATTATCCAATGAGTCGGTTCAATGATCATATCTCTATATGCATCATCTATCTATGTGATTTAGTTAATGAGATCAACTAATCTTTATCCCATAAAGACGATCACATAAATATTGATCTAACCGGATTACTAATGTCCAAATTAATAATCCTACGATCAAGAACAAATTTAGATTAAATTGTAAGAGACTTTGCTCTCATTATCATGATCTCTATCACGATGACAAGTCTCAAAATTTAATCAAGTACCTTATCAAATTAATCAAACAATTAATAATAATTATGATAAAAGAATGCCATATATTTTTATATTGAATAACATTCACAAAAATAGATTAGATCTAGGACATATTTACTATATCCCAACAGATATAAGAAAACAAAGGAAATGAATTAGGTAAAGAAAGTAGAAAAAAGAGAACAAAAGAGAAATGAAATAAATAATACAGGAAAAAGTCAAGTGCCTTTTGTTTATCATATAGACTAGATTTAGATTTCTGCAGTCTCATATTAAATGGATTACGTTCCTATCAACCAGTAACAATACACAAACAAACAATAAACGTTTAAAGAGGCAAAACGTAAGCTGTATCACATGCCATTACAACGTTGAAATCAAGATGCAGAAGCGTGTCGAGTAGCATGGCGTACCGGTCTATGAAGAGGATAAAAACTATAGGAAATTAAATGTTCAAATTCATAGAGACAAAAAATGCTAGGTGATTTCTTCTCACTATTGTGTTGATGGATGATACTCCCTCCAATCCACTTTAAATATTTTTGGCTTTCTTCACACAAATTCACTTGTTAGCATTAATTAATAATGAAATTGACCATATTAATCTTAATTTACTCATCAAAAATATAACAAACTACTTCTAGAGTCTACTCCAAGGGCAACTTTGGAAAGAAGAAGTTAATTCCTTTTTGATATCTACAAAAATCAAATATAGCAAGTACCTAGTAAAGTAATCAAGGTGTGCACAAGTTGTGTCGCTCGACACTAATCTTATAAAAGAAAAGATTAGAAGCAAGTAGAGGTCATTGCTCCAAAAGATCCTATGTTGTCTAGCCTGGACAAATGAACCAAAATTAGAGTACAGCCAGAAATTGCGTCTTGCCATTCGTCATCAATCATCCATTGCCTAAATGAATACAAAGGCCCTCTTTATGGGATGTTTACTTTGTTTGTAGTATTTAATTCCTTCTTGTTCGTTCACTATGATAACTTTTCTTTAAAAAATCAATTTCTACAACTAACCTACATTATTAGGGATTAAACAAATAACTAGACTGCAGAGACTTCTTGTTTAATTTAGAAAACAAAACCAGGATTTTAATAATAGTATTCTTGTCTAAGCTGCACAGATCTTAATTCAAGCTAATAAAACTAGACAATTATCAGGCTTAATACTACAATACTCATCATCTTCATCATTTCTTTTTAATGATCCATGGACAGTCTTTATCTGTATTTCCCAGTTCTGTTCTTTGTTCTCTATATCATCTCCCATCATTTTCTTCACAAGCTACAAAACCTTCCCCCTAGCCCATTTCCAGCACTGCCTTTCATTGGCCACCTCTACTTATTGGGTAAACCTTTCCACAGAGCCTTATTCAAAGTTTCAAGTCGTTATGGTCCAGTAGTCTTTCTTCAGTTTGGCTCTCGGCCTGTCCTCCTTGTTTCATCACCTTCAGCAGCAGAAGAATGTTTTACCAAAAATGATATCATCTTTGCTAATCGCCCTGATTTTCTCAGTGGCAAGTATTTCGGGTATAATTTTACCAGCCTCGCCTGGTCCTCCTATGGAGAGCACTGGAGAAATCTTCGAAGAATTTCCTCTCTTGAAGTTCTATCTTCCTACAGAATTCAGACACTATCAAGCATCCGTTCTGATGAAATAAACTACCTGATTCGTAGACTCTTTCGAGTCTCCATAGAAAGTTCGGAAAATATTGTAGAGATGAAATCATCTATTTTTAACTTCACCTTCAATGTGATATCAAGAATGATTGCAGGAAAAAGGTACCATGGAGAGAAAGTAGAGAACTCGAAAGAAGCTAAGCTATTCCAGGAGATATCAAAGGATACATTAACCACTGTTCCAAAGGCTAATATTTTGGATTTCTTGCCATTCATGAGGTGGTGTGGGTTGCATAGTGTTGAGGAAAAGATGATGGAAGTACAGGAGAAGAGGGATAACTTTATGAAAAAGGAAATAGAAGAGCATCGTCAGTTAAAGACTAGTGGTTCTTTTCCTTCCGCAGAGGTTGTGGCAGGGAAGAAGAAAACTATCATGGAAGTCTTGTTAGATTTACAGAAAACAGACCCCGAATACTACACAGATGAAACAATTAGAAACTTAATGTTGGTAAGACTATCAGAAATCTATATGGTTTCTTTTTTGTACATGAAAATCCACTCAGATGATTATTTTCAGCATGCTTTTGTTGCATGTGAAAAAAGTCATCTTATCACTGGAATCTTTATTCTTGATGACCATTCATTATTTTGCTGGTGTTATCTTGAGTTGATACTATGATTAAGTTTCAGATGGCACTTGACATAGATAGGTATACTGCTGATAAGTTTCTTAAAATATACACAGTATAGGTAGGTGATATTGACCAATTTAATTCTACTTATGCCTTACCTTGGATGTAGATCTTGAAATGAAAGCTATATTGGATCTCTCAAAGTCGTTGGCCCTTAGAGTGTCTGTTCTCTGTT